TTGACATCTTAATTTTCCCCTTTACCAATGAGAGAACTAACAAGTTCTACCGAAAATATCTTTTAAATAAAATTAAATTAGATAATACAAGTGAAATACAGCAGTGACAGGTTCATCATTGGTGAACTATTAACTGTTAGCGAATATTTATATCATCCTGGACTCATTTTCTTCCTTCACATCCTAGATCATATTTATCAAGAGACTCTGTTGGAACTACCTCCAAGATACAACAGAACCTGAAAATTTCTTATAACCATCTCTGCTATCCTATTGTTAAGCAACAGGCTTTCACGCAGTCTTCTTACCTCCACTCTTAATCTAGTTAGTCTTCTCTGCTTAAAACTTTCCAATGGTTACCACATCCATTTTCAGTAAAATCTGAAGTCATTATAATGCTAATGGGAAACCACTGCCTCTCAGATCACCTGACCTCCGGAGACGGGTGTAGGCCCTTCATTCTTTAGCCTTCCAGACCCTGTGATACCCCAAGGCCTCGCCACTCGCCCTTTCCTTCACACCTTAATTACAGGACATTTTTTTATCCTTCAGGTGCTTATTCAAAAATCTCTTCCTTCTGAGGTGTTCCTGAACCTTTTAAAAATTATATACCACACACAAACATACGTACACCTGCTCTGTCCAACTTATTGCTTTGTTCTGTACTATCTGATACATTGTACATTTTACTTATTTAATTGTGCATATCGTGTCATTAGTATTATAAGCGCCGTGATGGCAGTGAGTTTTGGTCAGTGCTTTTGTTGTTTTTTCTTTCTGTTCTACCTATGTTGCTTGTAATAAATTGGATATTTAGTAAATACGTAACAAATGAATGAGCAAATGGTTAAAAGACAATATATAGGTTTATTCAGCACAAATTCACTAATGTGTTATTATATGCTAGGCCCTAGGTAATGCAGAGTTTAGAATATGGTACTTGCTTTGGTAAAAATTGATATGTGTTGGTGAGATAAAACAGTAGAACAAGTGAACATATTTTCTTAAGTGCTATAACAGAATTTAGTAGTTATACTAGACTGTGTAGAAATGAACCAAAGTATTTCATATTTTATACATACACATATTTACACCTATATGTATATGTGGATCGTCTTTCAAAATGAGTATATGTATACTTGATAGTAACTGGCCTTTGGTTTTAAAGTTTCTTCTTTCTTTCTTTATTGTTGTTTTTTCACTTTTTTAAATAGCTGCTGACTTTTTTTCTTGAACCAGTTGAGTAAATATTTATTTCGATTGTGCAGGGCCGTTGGGTGATGGGAAACCAAAGACTTTGTTCACTTGGAGGTTATAAGCAGTGAAAGATAAATCTGTTTCATTTTTATGCATTGTTCTCTGGGCATAGATAAATTTATGAGTAATCAGGGATTGCTATAAGAAGATTGAAGTGCATTGTTAGAAACTAATTATTACTCAGAGGTTTCAGGTAGAAAAATCTAAAACACTCAGACACTGCAGACTTCAGAGCCATCAGGGTGGCATCGGCCGCTCTGCTTCCTTGCTGTGGAAGGAGACTTCTGCCTTGTGAAACAGCTCGAGTTCTCGGGAGATGTCTGAGCCCTTCATTAAGGAATGTAAAACCATCAGAATAAAAGAAATAATCATGATAAGGTAAAATGAAAAAAAAAAAGAACAAATTAAGGCAGGAACTAAAATCTAATTAAAAGTGCCAGAAATGAAAATGTAACAGGAGAAAATTCACATTCTAAAACCAAGAAGATTTTATATAGCTCTGGCCAAGCTCCTCAATGGCACAATAGTGGGCCATCGATCTGGCATGAAAAAAGTACCAAGCTCAGAGGTAAGATTTTAAAGCTCATTCCTTAGTTATGTATTGATTGAACTTTTATGGAGTGCCCTGGATGTTAACTTTTAATGCATAGAAATTTAGATCGTTACAGTGCCCAGATGTAGGGTTTAAAAACGCAGATATCTTGACATCTCTTGTTATCAAAGTATACACATGGCTTTGAGGCACCATTCGTATGAACAAGCTCACCATAAAATGTTAAACTAGAATCTACTTTTGCCGTTATCAAAAATCATGTTCCCTCCTTTCTTTGTTTTTTCTCATGTATTTGAGATGTATTTAAAATATTTTATTATACTTATATATTATACATATTTAAATGTCTATACATAAAAGATGTATATGTACATATGCATATTAAGTGATATAAATGATATGCCAGTAAAAATATATGTATACATGAATATATGAATATATATGTTCATTATACTCTCAGGGTTCTTTCTTAGAAAATATCCTCAGAGCCCTGTTATGAAAACCATGTTCCTGTTAATAGTTAAGTAATACTCATGAAAAAAGACAAGCACAATAGAATTCCAACTTCTATTTCCACCTCCACCTATAGACCCGAACTGCTCTTAACTGAGTAGCTACTATATAGTAAACCTGTAGCTACTATCTGCCACTTCTATCCCTCAAGCATCCAGCCAAAAAAGCAAAGGAACATAGGTTATTTTCAAAAACACATTATTAGAAGAACATAATTAAACTAGTGTTGGAAAACTAGTAAAAAAATGAGTTAGCATAGTTAAAGTAACTCTAAGAAGCAAATATCTCCTCTACGATAGGGAGAAGACAGGAAGGAGGTTGGGTATATCAGAACCCAGAAGACGAGAAGAGAGGTCCTACTGCTGCTAAGGATGCCAAGAAATCCTGAAACTAGAATTAATGAAAAAGTGAAGGGATATTGCCAAGGCAAAGCTGATGGGAGCAGAGGGGAGGGGCAAGTTTCTTCCTTCTTCTGATCTTTCAGCGTCTGTCTATTTCCTCTATTGATAGAACACTGCAAGGAGCAAGGTGATAAATGAGTACTGTGGTTTCCATTGTCCCAGCCCCAGCAGCATAATACAGAGTATAAAAGCCTGAAATCAAAGTGCGAAGCAATAGCTTAATAACTGGCATATTGATTAACTATGCAATTTTAACTTGCAGGTGTTTGAAGACTCAATTATGTTATTTCTCCAATAATGACTACCAACGATGTTCCATCAATACTCCCCCCTTACCCCTGGGTAGCTAACTTCCTTAATGTGTATTAGTTTAATCCTATACGTCTTAGACACCGTTATGGAAACAGATACTTTTAGATCTTAGAACTTGACCTTTTCTTTCATATTTTCAATTTCACATTTTATCCAAAGCTTTTCTCTCTCAAATTCAGCCCCCCACCAGTGCAAGTTAAATTGCTCTCTGGAGCAGCCTGGGGTTTAATAGGGGCCAATATCCTGCTCTTTTCATCTGCTTTCTTATATTCCCATGCTTACTATTCAGGTTGTGATGGGAAGCTGTTAAAAGAAAACAAATGTCATCTCCTTTTATGGCTCCCTGTAGTAAACTTGATGTCTGCTCCTTGGTTACTCACACTCACTTTTCCAATTTATTTTCTATTTGTTTAGTTGAGAATGGCGGTGGCATAAGAAAGCCCTGCTGAATTCTAAGTAGTCTGAGTAATGGTGGTCCACTGAAGATTCAGATAAATGTCTAGCAGTCCCAAATTAAGCAAGTGCCTCTTTGCCCTGTGCTGGGTTTGTGCCCCATAATCATTATTGTTTCCAACTCATGACCCTGAACCTTGCGGACAAGAGATGGGTCAATTATCTGTGGCTCTTTGGTGTCAAGCGTGGGTGGCAGCTGCACCTGTCCTCGCTTCTTCCTGCTGTCCCACCTGCCAACTCTTGCCCGTGGTCTTGTCCATTCCTGGCAGCCTAGGGCAGATTGGAATATCCACCGAGGAGGCAGACATTCAACCAGAAAACAATACACATTAAACTCTGTGCAGCCACTCACCTACTTAATGAGATATTCTCTTGGGCCCAAACAAGAGACTGTCATCGACCTCCTTCCATTTTAACTTACCTTCATCCAGGTGGCGAAAGAGGGGATGGCAGAGCTGTTTCTGTTGCCATTGTAGCTCTAAGATTGTCTTTGAGATTTAGCTATCTCTAATAGCCGGGAGTTCCCTACATTTACATCATTGGACCCTTCACACATTTTTTTCTCAACCATTCCCAGGAGCCCCACTCAGCACAACTATATGTACATGAATTCACTTAGTCATAATACCAGTGCATGAAGTATAATTGTTATTGTCTTCTAAAAATATGAAAAGTGACAGTTCTGTAGCTAGTAAATGATGGATCTAGACTTAAGAGAAATTCAAGTCTAATCAAAATTTTCATTTCATCTGGGAACAATGGCTTGGCCTTCAGAACATGTAAGGGACTCATATTTGAACAGGCTGGAAAGGGATCTAAATGGGATTATTCTTATAGTGTGGAGTTCCTCTCCAGGGTTAACATAATGGTAAGGAGAGGAATGTTGGTCAATATTATCTGAATAAAAGGAGTAAATTCAAACATGAATTTCAATTTTGGCTTTATTTCTCTTCTTAGGATTTGTATATTTGAACTGAGCAGGTGATCTCTTCATGTGAAATTCTTCACTTATAAATAGGAAAAAAGTAATAGTTTCTAGTTTCTATTTCATAGGATTCTTGTGAGGAACAATAAATCAGTTGTATGTAAAATGCATAGAATACTGTTGGGCACAGAATAAACTAATGTTGTTCTTATTATTATCATCACCCCATTTGCACAGAAAACACATGCTATCTGGGCATACAGATAGAGGCCTGAGCATTCGAACCCCCAAAATACCTCAAACTCTGTGAGCTTTGAAGTGTTGTCTCATTATGTAGATTAAATAAAGACCTATGGAAGCTTATCCTATCTATACCACTTCCCATCATTTTAGAAATTCATATGTATTTTCTTTTGTTCTGTTTAAAAATTTGGATAAGTTTTAGGAATACTGCTTTCATATTTTTTTTTGTTACTTTGTTTTGTATAAATGGGACTTGCTGTCTTCCTTCTTCCTTCCTTCCTTCCTTCCTTCCTTCCTTCCTTCCTTCCTTCCTTCCTTCCTTCCTTCCCTCCTTCCTTCCAGAATCAGATAGGAGCAAACAGAGTATAGCATCTCCAAATTATGCAGAGATGTTAATTGTGAGTCAGGCAAACTCCAGCCATCTTGTTCCAATCTGCCCACCAAAAGGAGGAAGAGGTAAGGATTATCCTACTTGATGATGGGTTGCTGCATTCTTGTTTTATGCCACTATCTCCGCAATTTTAGCCCTTGCTTTTAAAGAAATTTTTGCAAGACTGCCAGTTGGAATATGTAATTACCATTTCAGCTCAGCTCTGACAGGGATAAACAACTGTGGCATACAGACTTCTGCCAAAGTCAGTTCTCTCACCCAGAAATGCCTGAAATACTCATCAGAGTACTTTCAATTTCACCAAGGGAGAAAAGAAGGCAAAAATGATCAAAATGGGTGTTTCCTATCTTATCACTATCAGCTTTTGAACAAAACTAAGGTGGAGAAAATGAGTGAACTGAAGCAGCGTGTATCAACTTGGACATGTCACTATTATGGCATTAAATGAAAAATAAGTTGGAAAAGGATATAGGTTACACAATAAAATTTATTTCAAATGTTAACAAACAAAACCATACTCAGTATTTTTTAGTGATAAATATGGAGTGAAATTTAAAAACACCTATGGAAATAATGTATACCAAAATTTAGGTGAGTTTGTTCATTTTGTTTGGTCCATTCGTTGCCTTTCCAGAGAGAAAGGAGGCAGGGATGAATGAAGAAGGTAAAAGGGATCAAATGCATGGTAATGGAAGGAGCTGGATTTCGGGTGGGTAGGCACACAATGAGATGTACAAAAGATGTTTACTCTGAATTATACTCTGAAACTTATATAATGCTATTAACCAATGGTATTCCTATAAATTTGATAAAAAATTCCGATAATTGCTCTTGGTACAGTGGTAACAGAGGATGAGGGACAAGGTGGGTTTGGGAGAGAGTACACAGGAGACAGAGACTTAATTTTTATTTTGTAACCTGGTGGTAAGTTTATAAATGGGTCTTCCTATTTTGCTTTTCTTGGTCAAGGTTGTTTTATTTACTCTAGAACTCTTTCCTTTTCATTTACTTTTTAAAATAAGTTTGTCATTATACACACACACACAAAAAAGCTGCTGAGATTTTGAATTGTATTGAATCTGTACATCATTTTAGGGACAGTTCACATGTAGTCAGTATGAGTCCTTCACTTATGAATATGGCATATCTCTCATTTATTTAGAATTTTTAAAAAGCTTATCTCAGCCACATTTTCTAGTTTCTTTTTTTTAATGTAAAAATGAACATGTTTGGTAAAAGATAATCCCAAGTATCATATGCCTTTGGATACTATTTTAAGTGGTATTTTTTTAAAATTTTACTTTCTAAACTTTTATTTCTAGCATATAGTTATATAGTTGATTTTGTGTTCTGCAACATTATTGAATTTGCTTATTAGATCTAGTAGGTATTTTTACCCTAGCATTTTTAGCATTTTTTTGTTTTTTAATTGGGTCATCTGTGAAGAATAACATCCTTATATTTCTTTTACTTAAATCAGTGTGTCTTTTTTATTGACTATTTTATTTCTGTTTACAGTGTCTAGTAAATCTGAAAATATAAATAGCTCAAATATGATCTTGGTACCTTTATAGTGGTTCTCCCTGGTCAATCTTCTTTGTCCTTATGATTTCAAGTTCAATTTCTACCTCTAGTTCAAACCCTTATTTTCAGGTTTATACACATATTTTTGACTGCTTATCACTAATCACCATCTGAATATTTCAGAGTCATCTCTAATTCATTATCACAACTGAATTTACTTTCATCTTCGCAAGAACTAAGTGCTTTTATCTCCCTGACTTTAAGTCAACGTTATAACCAATAACTCCAAAATGAATTCGTGAAATGAATTTTAATTTCCTGATTTGCTAACACCATTATGCTTTCCAAAGACTTGCTCATACTCAGAAACAGACACAAAGTTGCTTCTTAACATAATTCATATACTTTTTATTTTTTTTGACTATTGGCTACCAGTAGATTTCTATCATCTACTCTCTGCATTTAGATAAGTTATAAACAATGACTTTTACATACATACCTAAACATGTTATTCTGTTTCTGGACAAAACCTCACTGAACCCTATTTATGCTAGAATAAAATTCCAATTTTTTTGAACTCTGCATATATTTTTAGGCAGGGATAATAGAGAAGCTTAGAAGGCACATTTAAAAGTTCTTATTGATTTTGACTTGCCCTAGGATAGTGTGCTTGATATCTTCATCTTGCTCCTCCAGATCACTGTACACCATATTCCACCCTCACTATGTGCTAGACATGGATCATTGCAGTCAATAAACCCCTTGATCCTTTGGTTTCCTGTTGGGATTGGCTAGTAGGGAGATGCATAGCACTGTTAAGATTATGTGGGAGGATGGAGGGTGACTTTGGGTTATGCATTCCCCTGCTTTATCCCTTGGACTGACTCTGCGCCTCACTTGAATGTCCCTGGCATGCTTACCCTTACATCACGCTGGACTTCTGGTGTAACACTATCTCAATGGTTACACTTAAACTTTGTCTTCAACTTTAAATAGTCTATTTATGGAACACTTTGCAGATTATTCAAATTGGGTGTGTCATCTGTTTCTGCAATGATTCAGACACATATAAAGATTAAAAAGGGACTTGAATATAGATGATTGTTTCTCTTCCTAACATAAAATACTAGTTGGTCCATATATAAAGATTTGAAAAAGTAATACGGTTCCTGGTCTTGTTCTTTGCCAAATTCATCTTATCTCACTTTCTCACTTCTACATCAGATTCCAACCATATCAGGCTAAATGTAGTCATACTTTTTGCATGCATAACATTTTATCTTCTATCCTATTTCTTTTCCTAGTAGTCTGTATAAAATCTGCCTAAATGACACCTTGGCCTGACACTGGCTGTAATATTTCTCTTTACTCCATAACAAATTGAACATAACTCTTCTACACCTATTTTCTGTAAGTCAGCCATTCAGGCCAACTTTTCAAACTAGGTAAGATTTTCCATTTGGTGAAAACACAAAAACATTATTTTTACCTTTGTATAAGCACTACTTACCATTTAACAGACATTAAATAAAGGTTAATTAACTCTTCATATACATAAGTAATTATCTATGAATGCATAGTAATACAATTTTAAAATTTTTTGTGAGTTCTGAATTATTAAATTGGCTATTGGTATTGAGCAACTCAGCAAATAAATTCAGACAGCTCTACCTGCTTAGTTTATTACAGACCAGCTTAATGAAACAGATATATAAAACTGAAAAACTGCTAAACTTCTGAATTTGATGATAAAATAGAAAGGAAATTTAAAGGATATTTAAGGGCAATATTGTTGATGAATCACAAGAGAGTTCATTTCCATAAAAGTTAGAAATGCGTAGGCACCCAAGAATAGAACAAGGATACAAGGATACAAGTGGCAAGGATAAGGAATGAAATCAGTTTCTTGACTGATCCCGTTCATTGAAGCTCTCATATCGCTCCCTTACCTGGGACAGGTGCCAGGTTCATTCTTTGTCAGTATCCTTAAATTACTTCTAAAGTTTAGTCAAATACTCTTGTGCTTGAATTGTTAGCTAACACATTACACAATCACATGTCTGGTGAGCTCCATCAGTGTCTGTTTTTCCAATAAAGATAACAGAATAATGTAGAGTAATTATAGAAAAACAATTCTGTATATGAGATTATACTGAAATTATAATATTCGGAGAGAGGAGCTTTGCCTTTGTAATATAATATCCTATTATTTAAAGCCTATATGAATTTTTGTTCTGGTTTTATTGTTGTTGTTATTTGAACGTATGAACATTTCAGGTAAAGTGACCTCAAGCAACAAAACTACATTTGAATAAACATCCTGCTTTTTATCACTGACCAATATAACTATAAATGATTAGAAGAAATATATAAAAACTAATATAAATATAAAATTGCAAATAGTATGCACACTCCTTGAAAGATAGAGATTAAAACCCTTCACAAACTTTAGTAACAGTTATCAATCACATTCTGGTTAAAGATACAAAGATTCATGACCTTCAGAGTTCAAAATAATTATAGTTGGCATTTACTCTATGATGCAAATTATCCTTCACTAATGTACAAGAAGAGCAGACACCTGGACTTAATTTCTGGTGACAGAGAAATTATTACTCCATTTAAATCCCACAAGTTCTTAGAATTCTTTCCTTATTATTACAGCAAAATTTGTCTTTCTGTAAATTATACCTATTATTGATTACATGACAAATCTAATTCTTCAGAGTTGTAATAAACCTTCAAATATTTAAAGATAGTAATGTCTTCTAAATTTCCATTGAAAGAACCTGAGTTCACACAAACATAAATCATGATTTTGATAGGTTTCACCATCCTTACCACATTCCTCAGGACTGACTTTGTTTGTCAATAACCCTTGAAAAATTGGTAGCATGGAACTGATTGTTTCATGCCCACTGTTTTATGACTTGTCTAGTGTAGGGGATGTAAAACAAAATTAATGCTGGACATTAACGAGATCAACATTGTTAGTCTACTCATTATGGTCAATGTAATTACTCAATACTGTACCCATTAGACTCCAGTCAGGAGAGAAAAACAACAGTTACTTGAATAGGGAAAGTTTATGATAAAGAATTGTACACTTGAAATCTATATCATTTTCATAACCAATGTCACTCCAATAAATGTAATAAAATAAGAACAATCGATTAAAACAAGGGATTGAATTAACAAAGTATTGGCTAGGGAGAAATAGAAATAAATTAGAACTCTGAAGAAAATGGGAACACATATAGGATGCAGAAACTCTGTCTAGGACTGGGCTGGAGAACCCAAGAAAATGTTCTTCCCATGAGTTTGATCTGCATTGGTGAAACTTTCTAGAATTCTGCCCTCTTTGTCCAAGAGAGCCATTCATGGCCAAGCTTCTTGTTGCTGATACTTTACTGCAAAACCGTCCAAGGAGAAGGCCCTAGGAATGTGTTGACGTGAGTTCTAAAAACACCTTGTGTAGCAGAACTTGGGTATTAGAATAGCCTCTGGCACTCAGGAGCTTATGCTACAGGAACCCATGAGCACCAAAGGAAGCAGGCTATGGAG